TGGCGCGGTTCCTGCTGTCGCAGCGGGTGTTAGTGAGCTCCGGGGGTTTCTCACCACATGCGACTTGTAAGTAGTACTCGTCGTCCGTCGCCGTCGCCGTCGCCGTCATCGTCATCGTCGGCGGCGGCGGCGGCTGCGGCGGCTTCTCTTCTTTTCTCGCTCTTCTCTCCCCCCCGACCCTCTTTCTCATCCTCGTGGCCGCGTCTCCTCGACGCCGCTTCTCTCTCCGCCCGTTTCGACCGGACGCGTCCGTGAAAATCCCGGCGATTTTCGCGCGTCCACGTCAACTCGCCGGGACTCCGCGCGCTTTCGGATCGGAGAAATCCGCCTGTGTCCTCGCGATGTCTTCTCGCCGATCTCACGCTGTCCCTCTTTCTCTCTTTCTCACTCTTTTTTTTTTTTTCCTTTTCTTCCTCGGAGCATAGGAATTTCATTTCACGGAGAGCGACCTCTCCTCTCGTTTGAACGTTACTTTTCGGGATGTCGCTTCTCGGAATGCGACTTTCAGACCGCGCGTGCAACGCCGTCCAAGTCGGAAAAAAAGCAAAAGCCGAGAAGCGCTTCTATTTTAGGTGGAACGAGTCGAGGACGATTGAAGCAATTGCCTCTCTCCGCGGATAGAGGGTAAAAGTATATGGCTTGTCTCCTCAACCATAAAAGTTTTGACTTTCGAAGTAAACAGTGCTCCTCTCGCCTTTTCTCGATTAATTTCCATCAATGTTTCACGGAGAGAAGCGATAGTATGGCATTATTTTAATGAATAATGCCAATTGCTCTAATCAACTTGCTATCAATTCTTATTGCTTTGTTAATACAGACGGAATTATTATTATTATTATTATTATTATTGAACGCATGGAACGGAAAACTAAATATGAATAATAAAGAGAACTAAGTCAGGTAAATTATGTAACTAGAGACCTTGGCTACTGAGCTAATCCAGTCGAGTTAATTGTTCCACTTGTTAAAGAGTTTTTTTGCCTTTCCGAGTAAGTCTAAATTTAATATTCCCGTTTTCATCCTTGGAAAATTTTTATATCCCAACTACGGTGGGCGCGTGTTCCGCTCCGAGCGGAAGTTTCCCGAAAATTTCCATTTCCGAATCGTCATGCCGCGATATTATCGGCGATCGGAATAAATGTTAATATAATTAGCAGCGGTCGTCCACATATCGGCGCACTAATTAGACAAGAAAACGCGGGGCTTTGTGCTCCGATGAGGAAACGGAATGTGTGTCGTCCGGCTTGCGCAATTGGACGCAAATTAGGCGCAAGATAGTTGCGAAGGAAAACAATTATCGCGGATGAGACGCGAAAATCAATAATATCGTGCACGCAGGGATCTCCCGAGTTGTTTGACCAAGAATCGCGCGTTCACACCGGACGGGGTGCCCGGGTTATCTAGTTACGGCACCGTCCCAGCCCTTTTCGCTTGATGTCGCAACGCAAGTAAACAACACAGGGGAACACTTTATTTTATGTACACAGTGTCTTGGACGCGCGGATGCTGGCTCACGAGCGGGGGGGCACCTTATAACGAATTTGACCTCGATTTTTCCGCAAAAAAACTTCCGTCTTTCACGAATAAATAGAAAAAGGCATATCTCAGAATATAAAAATTGTCATACACAATAATGATTTCTCAATAATGGTTAGATGAAATATAAAATAAATACTAAATGTTACAGTAATGATTAAGATTATTCTAATATCTGTTTTATGTATATTTCATTTTATCTTTTCGCCGCTTTTTGAGCTGCGTGTTGATTTTTACACGACGTACGTTTTTCAAGGCTGCGATATTTCGTAAATAGGATTTCTCTTATTTCTTTGCGACATAAAGTTACCTCATTTTGATAAGGCACGTGTTTTAGTTCAAACGGCACGATAATAAAGTTTCCTTTCCTTCAGAATGTTGTTTGACTGATAACAAGTTAATATTTTAATATTTAATATTTAATATTTTAATATTTGTTTAATATTTCTAGATTCAACAGACAAAAAAGAAAATTAGTCTTAAATCAAGAAAAATATAAGTAAGAATATTACAATCTTCATATAGAAGATTTTTAGTCTTGAATTGAGCAAAAGTAATGTATCAAATTCAATTAAATCAAGATTAAAATTTTTAAAAAGATTATAAAATTGTTGCAGTATATGAGAATATTTGCCTTGATTTCAATCAAATCGAGATTAAAATTTTTAAAAAGATTATAAAATTTTTGCGATATATGAGAATATTTGCTTTGATTTCAATCAAATCGAGATTAAAATTTTTAAAAAGATTATATATTCTTATCAATATGTGAGAATATCTGCCTTTAGATTTAAGACTAATTTTTTTCTGTGTAACTTGCATCCCGAAGGTATTTCGATGACACGGGAAACGAAAAGATCGATAAAAAAGGAAGACTCGAAGACTAATCGTTCGAATAATCGTTTCGAGCTCATTATCGCGTAATGCGACTCTAATTGTCGCGATACGTCAAGCAGCTGATACAAAGAGAGAGAACGGGACAAGGTGAAGAGAGATATACTCGATATCGCGAGCCATATGTTAGGCAGATGAATTTTATAACGCGCGAGCAATTTCGACACACTCGCTACGAATGTTCTTGCGTGGAACGCGGGGAAAAGCCGACATGCGTTTCGATTCGATTTCTTTTATCGTGTATATTGGAGGGAGAGTTCGCTTCGTGCGAAGTTTACGCGAGGCGTTAGAAACTTTGGGGCACTATGAATAAATCATGCTCGCAACCGAGGAATTTTTGTTCTAAACTTTCCGAGAATTTAATTTTACGGAGAGATCGCCGTGCAAAAATTTCAGGCCCGGTTTTTTATTATTTACAATTAACATAATTGGACGAGTATTCTTCAACGTGCACGCGACAATAACGATATTACCCGATATCCTTCACAACTTTCACGACATTTACGTTAGAGATAGTAGTCACTTTGACTAGTTTTGTAATTCGTAAATTTGATCTCCCAATTTGATTTATCGCGAGACGGTAAAACTGGCCCTTAATTTTACGGTCAGGCCGACCTTTAATGGGACCGACACCACGCCATCCGCGCCTTGCCGTAGATGCTAAAAGCCTTTTTGTAACACGAAATGAAATATTGGCGAAAGAGTGTGCTTGCGTGACATTGGGGTTTTCATTTTAAGGAGGGTCAGGATAAATTGTTAGGTATTCTGATATACGAGGATAATTATCCTCCCCTGATTAATACACCCTGTCGTTCTTCCAGCTAATAAACCGAGTCCAAGAGTTCAGAACGATTAGCGATATGTAATTTTGGATTTAAAGAGAGAAGGATAATGACTTGTTATTTCCTGATAATGATTCATGATTACTTTGTAACAAGCGAGAAGAATATTACATACACAGAGGGTGGGTCTGGATATGTCATAAAAAATGTATTACATCAGGGTTGCTCAAAATACATGGTATAAATTGTGTTTTATTAGGGTAGATCCAAATGATGTGGTAAAAAATTTATTCTATTATTTCAACTCGTTGAGCAGAATCATCCCCTTATCACATTACGTAATTGTATCACATTTGATATCCTCCCTCTATAATATACTGGACTTTGCACTCGCTCATTAATTAGAAAAGGGACAAATATTAATCAAGCAGATTATCGATATATGTATCGCTCTAAAAAAGTTCCATTTGTGAATTTTCCCTTCGTTATTACCTTAAATTGCAGTTATAAGTACGTTTTGTCAGTTTACGTCTCGTTCTTATATGCCGCATAAACGTTTCATCGAAGCCTTCTTTATTTATGGCACGGCCAAGGACGTATTTACATAGAAACTAATGAAATTTAACGTTCAGGCTTCCAGTCGATTGCAAGAAAATTCTTTTAATTTTTAAAAAAATATTTTTAAAGTTTACTTTGTAAAGCTCTCCAGCCAAAAGTTTGTATTCAAAACAAAATGACATAAATCGTAAATTTTCTTTTACTCACAAATTTTCTCTTTGACCAAAAAAAGGGGTAATTAAATAATTTTCAAAGTGGAAAACTCCTAGGCAGTGTCTCAAAATAATTTCCAAAATGGAAAATTCAAAGTGTTCAAATTCACGTTCTTCTTCTTCTTCTTAAAAATAGAAAAACCTCGGCCTCGGATGTTTTCACATCGCGAAACAAGTTGAAATTATTACTTTTACGGGGAAAAAAAAAAATAAATAAAATAAAGTATGAAGAGCCATTTTCAGATGTACTGTCTTCCTTCTTAAGCCGCTCCTGGTAAGCGCCGTTCTGGTGCCAGGCTGTTTGGCGACGTGTTGGGTCTAAGAGATGAAGGGTGTGCGTCATCACCTAGTTTCAGACGTTCAAGTATGACAAACTCCCCGTCGTCGTCGTCGTCGACGACGTCGTCGTCGTCGTCGTCGTCGTCGTCGTCGTCGTCGTCGTCGTCGTCGTCGTCGTAGTAGTTGGACATGTGTGATTTCTTTTTCCTCGCGCGTGCGTGGGTCAATGTGGCACAATTTTTCTTGACTGATCTAGCGCTGCTTTTGATGGCTGGCAATTTAACGACGTGTGTTTAAGGGATGCTGTATGGCTGATCGTATGTGAATTCTCTTTCATTCTTACGCACGATTTACACACGCAAATGCTTCCCCGTACTCCCTGTACTCTCTATTCTTCGTGAATATTTTATTCAACGCGAGGGCACAATGTGTGAAATGAAGATAAATAAATTTTGTAGTGTAAATATGCAAAAGATAACAAAACGATAAAGAAAAGGGAACAAAAAATCTCTTGTATAAATCTGTAACTTATCGAAGTATCATCTAGATCGCAAAATATTTTGATTTTTAATCCTTAATAATAATTTCAATGTCTTAAGATTCATTCCTCCCTCTCTCTCTCTC